TTTAGAGTAAAAAGTAAAATAAAAGTGGAACAGAGAGTGCCCTTCAGGCTGGATGGACAAGATGAGTTTCAAAGGTCTTCAACGGGAAACTTTTTATTGTGGCCCGGACAGAGGTGACTGAAACCACACATCCTGTTAGAGTCAGCTGCCCAACTGGAACGAATGTCTCTACCAGTGACTCAGCATAAGGGTCAGTGCACCCGTGCTCAGACTCCCAGTGCAGGCTGGGAAGGGGAGAAGCATGAAACAGCACATTTAAACACCCTGTCAGGGTTTCAGAAATCACACATCCATGCCTTCCTTTTTTCTGTTCCTCTGCGGCATAATCACTTCTCTGTTTCATGGGACATTTCTATTTTTTCCCTATATTTTTGCCAGCAAATACAATGAAAACACTGGAGTTAAATAAAAAAGCGGCCCCTGGTTTTGAAGGCGAGTCCCAAGCTCATGCAGTGGCATCTGAAAGTACCGAGTCACCATCCTGCTTACTGTGGCCTCCTGGCCAACGTGAAACGCAGTGTCATGACTACCTTCTGTTTAGCACAGAAACTACAGACAAAATAACTGCTACTTCTTATCAAATGTTAACTTTAACACCCTTTGTCTCCACCCACCTCGAAAAAGAATGAGAAAATGGAACTAGCAAAATTTAGGAAAGGAATCGGCCAACTATGCAAAAGCTCGCTATATAATACTCATGGCTGCTTCGGCTCAAAAGCTTTCAAAAAACAGCCTTTCTGCTCAAAATCTCCGGCAGGATTTTCTGAGGCTGCTCCCAGTCTAATTGGATTACAGTTTAAATAATCCCTATTTGCGGGGACTGAAAGCCAAAGAGCCGGCTGACACAAAAGGAATGTCAATATGAGTTCAAAGACCACAAATACTGAGTAACCAAATGCTGCCCAGTAGGTTTGGCTGAAGACAATTTAAAAAATGAAAATAAAATGAAATATTATCTATATTATAGTAGTATAGCATGTACTGTATGTCTGTCTGTATGTATGTATGTATGTGTGTGTGTGTGTGTGTGTGTGGGGGGGGGGGAGTAAATGTATAAAATGCATAAAAAGTGTGTGGAAAATAAAATATTTGTGGAACACAGAAAAAACTGTGATGGGCACAAGTACAACCAAACGGTCACTTTATGGAAAGGATTTTTAAAACCATAAAATAACAATATTTTGTGTAAAAACTATCATTAAAGTGTGGAGCCGTGGTACAAATACCCAGAAGGAAGCCTGGTCAGGCCAAGCTCTTGACAGCTGAGATGACATGATAAAAACTATCCCATATTTTTCTACCAAGTGACCGTGCTGGGGAGGGGGGAACCCCACCCCCCACCGCACAGATGGCAGTAGACATTGATGGGGCACCTCACCAGCACCAGAAAGACAAACAGCGGATATTACCTTAGTTTGTTAACTGGACAAACATTTAAAACACATAATTATAAAAGTGACATATGCATTTATCACCTTTGACGTAGCGTGACGGCAGATATATAACACACAAGCAAATGACATCATTCACTTGGACTGAACAACTTATACCTATACCACATGACTTATATAATAATAATAATAACAACGAAACAGTCACATTCTTAATAACAATAATAGCAATAATAATAATTAAGTAATAAGTATACTTAACCTGGCATTATTTACAAATACCCACAATTGAAAACAATACAGTGGACAACAACAAAAACATTCAACAACAATAACTATTACTTATACATACTGAATTATTATTATTATTGTTGTTGTTGTCGCTGTCATTATTATTATTATTATTATTATTATTATTATTATTATTATTATTATTATCCGAGGCTAGCAATAAAAAGTATAAACAGGGCATAAACAATGGTAGGCTACGAGGACAGCAGTACCTGACAAGCCCCCCATCGCAGCTGTCCATGGCTGTTTATACGCGATGTTCCACACCAGGAAAGCCGACAAGCCGATCAGGACCCCTATAGAGGCGTACGCTACGCTGATGTGCGTTTTATTCATTCCCATCGGGAAAACAGGCGCTACCGACCAATAAAAATAATTAAAATAAAGGGGATTTTAAAACCGCAGCTCTTGTACTAATCCCCCCTGCCGCGAAAACAGGCTACAAAGCAGCGGCCGCGACACCGGCCCGGATACACCGCATGAGCGCACTGACAGCTGTCAGCCACGGCCGATCGGGAGCTCCTGCCGTGCCGCCTGACAGCTACATTATAGCGCCTGTTGACGCCCGGAGATGCGAAGGCAAAGCCGTTAATCGCCGACTTTTAGGAACTGGCCTTCTTCGGCTACGCTGATGCTGATGAGGAGAAGGAGTGTGCCGAGAGTGCCCCCTGTCGAAGCGGAGGAAACGTCAAATTTAACCCCAGGCTGCACATATACTGTCTTACAACAAAAGCACCTCTTAAAAATAAACGGAATATCAGTTTTTAGGGAGATGCAAGATAAAAAGGGAAAATTGTGTGTGGTTTTAGAAGGAAGGTTAATTTTTTTCTTTTTTAAAAAAAAAATGATCTTGCAGAGATGTGTACCAAAAATGTATGTTAGTCTGCAGTCACATGCATGATAAATGTGACTGTGTCACTTGTGTCTTGTTACGAATTTATCAAAAATTATTTTTTTCTAAAATCTAAATGGAATTGAATCTAGTAGTATGCTTGAACGGCCTTGGTCTGTTAGTAATGAGCTTAACTTGCTGATTTTACTGTGGGACACTTGAGCCTTATGCCATTTAAATTTGCATATCCACTGCAGGTGTGAAGTAAAACCAAAACAGTTAGAATGCACACCCTTGTGATAAAGCAGAGGCTGGGTGTGTTTGTCGTGAAACACATGCACCGGTGACCTCTCCCTGAAAACGGTCCGTGTATACCAGAAGGTAAGCTGACATTTGGTGCAGTTCAGTATTTACAGTTTAACCTTACTAAGTGGCCTGGACTATTTAACAGTATTGCTCCATTGTCCACTACAGGCTTTACCTTTTGGCATGCCGTTTCTGTCAGAGGTGTCAGAAACATACCTGTCTCTAGCTTGGGGTGACTGGAATAACCGCTGACATTAAAGCTTACTGTAACTTTCAAGGCCACAAGGAGGCTGAAATATTGTAGCAATAAGCATATCTGTCCACTAGATGGCATGACATCATGCATACTGCTCTTTGAATTCTGCTGGTTTTTTTTTTTTGGACCTACACAACTTCATCTTCTTCAGAGTGCTCTTCCTAGTCAGGGTTGAGCTAGCAGCATGCTAAGTATTTAATACCCAACCTCTCCAGACATTGACAGTGTAGCTGGGTGATATAGCGCCCCTGGCATATCTTCCCTGAAACACATCCCCTTGGAGTTGCATCCTTATAAGATGCCTGAACCACTTAGCTGGCTACTCTGTATATGAAGGAGCCATGGATCCCCATAAGGATCACAGGTGAAACTGACCGGTAAACCCTCAGCTTCATCAGATGACCTATTTCATCACCACAGACTCGTTCAATGCCCTCAGATCTGCAGCCGCCAAACTGATCAGGCTGTCCATCACACATTCCCACTTACCATCACGTTTGACCCTTAGGTATTTCACTAATGGCAGAGTCTCGCTGCTTAACCTAAAAAGACCAATATACTGACGGCCACTTTGGCCTTGGATAAGGAGGTGTCCATCTTCATCCTCAACGCTGAACCACTCAAGGCTGATTGAAGTGGGGCTGTCACTTTCAATCATGTCCTGTATCGCTTCACAACAGAACACAGCATTTTATTTTCCAATGTGGGCCGATCCCATTGAATATGGAACAGATGGTAGCTCGAGCTGGAAGCCCTGAATGGATGATACCAGAAGCACATCATCATCTTCAAATCGCATGGACAGGCACGTGCAAATGGGGAGGCTTGGGCTTCCTGAGCACCCGCCTGAGCAGCCGCCCAATTTGCCCCAAAGTATTAAAAGTGCTTGTAACAACGCATTATGTAATAACGTCACATTTTTTAATAACACAACAAATTTTCACTTCATTATGTAATAAAACCCACATATTGTAACAATCTGCCTCATTTTGTAATATACCGCTTGAACGGAATACGTAATAAATTTCCCCGCATTTTGTAATAAATCATTACATATTGCGATGATTATTACAAAATGCTGGAGTTGCTCTTTTTTACAATAAAATGAAATTAATTTAGTTACATAAGAAACAACCAAAATAGATGTCTCCATCTATACATGTTATATTTTAACAATAAAGCTAAATGAAACTTCCCAAATATTACATTATATCGGAGTTATACAGTAATTGATTCTGATCTTAGTCTAAATAGCCACATAAAAACTTTACGATAAGCTACCTATTACAAAATGCTGGTGCTGTTGCATAATGAAGTGAAAATGGAGTTATTAGATAATGTGATGTTGCGTCACTTCTCATTCACGGCACCTTTTTACTTTTGAGCATTGGCTAC